ATTTTGTATTTGTTCATTTGATTTTTTCCTTCCCAAGGGAAATCCTTTGCACTTGTCCTTGTGGAATTTAATCTTGTTGGTTTCAAATCAATTCTCCAATTTAGCAAGGTCTTTTTGAATTCTAGCCCTGTCCTCCAAAGTGCTCACACCTCCCAAATTTCAACCATACTCTTCAGTCAGTTATCCAAGTGATTAATGAAAATATTGACCACTCCTGGATCAAGGACAAACACCTGTGAGCCTTGACAGATACATCTACATTCACAAATTCATTCAGTGATAAAGGCTTTTACTAGGATTTCTGAAGGATTTCATTGTACATCAAACTTATCTTTAAGGCACAATCCTATTACTGTATTAGTTTGTCTATTTCAGATTGAGTGTTTCTCCTCTTGCCATCAAACACTTACTCCTCGCCCCGCCTCACTCTGAGCATGGAGCCTTTTTGCAGTAAAATGAATTAGTTCAGAGGCAGAGAGCAAAGTGGCTCAGAATGAATAATTTTATCACAGGCACCTCTGTTGCTTATAGTTGGGCTCTAACCTCATGGCAATGTACAACAGAAGAATAGTTGTGGAAGAAGCAAATGTTCCAAAAGGGAAGAAATACTCAACAAAAATTACAAGTGGTAGTCAAGTAGTGAGTAATTCTAATATATTATGAGACTACCTATTCATTTCTGCCAACAGCCAAATCAATTTGCACAAAACAACAATAAGCCTGAATCTTTGCTTATTCTCCCAGATTGAACAGACCTTCTGTATAATACAGATCTTAAAAAATTCCTGAATTAACTCCTGTAGCCAGTGTCCTTTGCACATTTATGCTGGGGGCAGCTCACCTGTGTTTAAGTCCATGCCTTCACTACTATTGTTACTTGTGCTCATGATGCTAAAGTTAGCACAGGTATGCTTAGTTATGCTATAATCACACCTCAGTTTGTAATGTAGATGTATCCTAGTCTAGAGAGAATAATTAAAACCTAGGAATTGTGCTAGCAATGCTATATAAAATGTAAGGCCGCAAAACTGAGACAGAAACAAAGTAAACAGATATGAAAAAGCTTAATCGGTGTAAGAATTACGGACTGATATCTGCCAAGTGTCACACACTTCTAAGTCTGTCATGCATTGCTGCACAACAAGCACCATCAACTTTTAGCTTTCTTTAGGGGTACTTCATCCCTAGGCCCTGCTCTCCACCCTTTCCACCAAGGCCTCTTCCTTGCTCCGTCCCCTCTCCTGTGGTTCCCCACCCTGCCTCTTCCCATCCTCGCTCCACCCAGCACTTTCCACTGAACAGTTGATTAGTGTCAGGAGGAAGCACTGGGAGGGCATGGGAGGATCTGATTGGCAGGTGGCTGGTTGCATGATCTTCTCTTGCGGCTAGAACATATATAGGGGTTAATGAGTTTATTACTGCCTCTATAGCAACAGGATGAGAACATTAGCTCAAGCCATAGGCATTCACACTCTTAGATCTAGAGGCCCCAGCTTCAGCTGCTTTTGATGACCCAAACAAGGATATCATTACACTTGTCTGTATAGCCTCTTATCATTTATCACATTCTTCTCCAGAGAGCCAGCTAGTTCATAAATAGTTGTATTGCTCTCAGAGGATAACACCATGTTTTTGTGCCAGTTATTCTAATAGCAGATGTGGCCATGGTCTGTGTGGTGTACCTGAGGGTTGTACATTCAAACTTAGTTGTTGAGCTATGCAGAAGGAAAATGTATGTAAGTTAGTAAGCTGAACCAGGAATAATAGTTGAAATGACCTTATCTTGCAAAAAAATGTATTTAGAGGTTAATTTAGATATTCTAATCAATACTAGCTTTATTGATGTAGTTTTAGTGTTTCTGTTTTGGTTAATGGAATGGTCCCTTTAAGGACAAGGTGGAATACAGATAGGTTCATATGAAAAGACAGAGCCGTATGTTGGAGAGGTGGGGACTTGTTTAATAGACCAAAACTTTCCAGAAAGTAATTTTTATGCCTGATGATGCAATGCATTTATTAGGAGGCTGAGAGCTACAGAACATTACTACTAAGTTTCTGTGCCTTTTGCTTGTGGGTCACTAGTATGAATCCATCCTAACTCAGTAGGAATTAAATGTCGTATCTCACTAATGCAAGTTTGGTGGCCCTTAGATTAGATTAGTTTGGTGGTGACATAGTACAAGTGCACCAACATACTTTGCACTGATTGTCAAGCATAAGAGAGAGGCCAAGAACTTCATGGGCCATGCAGGATGAACTAACCCCTGTTACCCTTGCTGACTTTCCCCACCCGCATCAGGGCTGAGGAATGCTGGCAATGCTTGGAAAGCTTTCACTGTTGCACCCAATGGACAAATAGTTCCTTCATTAGGTCTGCATCTAAATCCACATGCATTTGTTAAAGCTGTTTAAGAAGTCTTAAGGTCATATACAAATTATTACACATATTCAACAAAGCTCATTAAATTATTTACATAAAGTAATATTTGCCTAATCCTGTTTTCCTGTTTTTTTAAACCAGGATTAATTGGCTGAAAATAAGGATGGTTACTCAAATTAAACAAAAAAGATAACATGCTTCCAATTTTTCCCCTTCCAAAATAA